GTACGTATGAGGCATCTAACCAGTCTCGATTGCCGAAGTGAGCCCCGCAATGGCCTTCATAGACTTCTTCGAGGACGCATTGAGTCTTGTTCGGTCCTAAGCACTTTGCTAGAGGGCCGCAGTAAGTCCTCCTATACAGGTTGCTATGGAGGATACTATATCTGGTCGCTTGCATTCTTAGTTTCTTGGCCTCTTTTTTTTTTCCAGTGAGTGTGTCGTCCATCAAGTATGAGAAAATACGATTACGCCAATCCCAAGTTAAGTTTATGTTTCTTACCTTGACTTGGTCTAGTGATGAGTTCATGAGATGGACCACGTTTTTGTCTCCGGTCGTGATGCTTTTGGTAGATGTGGCTAGATTGGTGAGCCCATCTGCCTCGGCATTCTGTGTTTGTGGGATTTAATCGAGCTGACATTCGTCAAACTCGGGCAATAGCATGCAGATTTTGGTCTGGTATTTTTGCAATCTTTGTTCCTTTATTTGGAAAGTCCTTGTGACTAGGAGACTACGAGCTCGGAATCACAACGCAATTTGTTTCACTCCATATTTGAGTCCTAGCCTTAAAACTACAATTACGGCCTATACTCGGCCTCATTGTTAGTTATATCTAGGCACCTTATGGACTGGCGAATCACTTCGCCTGTTGGGACCTCGAGTACGAGTCCCAGTCCGGACTCTGATGCGTTGGATGCACCATCGGTGTATAGGAACCATAAGTCTCGTATTTGGAGGGAAGCTTGGATGGCTTCCCTTTCGACCTCAAGCATTATTTTTATATTGAAGTCGACAAAAAGTTGGCAAGCACTTGTGACTTTATCGTAGTTCGAGGCTAAAACATGATATCGTGCTCACTTAGATTGATGGCTCATTTGGCCAGCGTCCCTGATATCTTAGGTTTATGTATAATACTCATCAAGGAAAAAGTTGAGACGATCGAGACGGGTTGACATTGAAAATAAGGTCTAAGCTTCCGTGAAGTTATGACCAAGGCCAGAGCCAATATTTTGACGTGTGGGTACCTCATCTCAGCGTCGATGAATGCTTTGCTAATGTAATTGATGGTAGATTGTGTACTTTTGTTTTCTCGGATCTAGATTGCACTTACAACTACCTCGGATATGGCCAGATAAACGAGGAGTTGTTCCCCTGATTCGGGATTTTATAGTAGAGGTAGTGATGATAGTTATGCCTTTAGTTCTCACAGAGCTTGGACACACTCGGAAGTTCATTCGAGACCGTTGTCCTTTTTGAGTACACAAAAAAATTTGTGGCATCTATCCGACGATCGTGAGATGAACCTTGATAGAGCGATGATACGATTAGTCAGCCTTTGGACGTGCTTTTTTTTGTGGTTAAGAGTTCTAGTATCCCCTCGATGGCTTTGATTTGGTATACGTTGACCTCGATCCCTCGCTGCGATACCAAAAAATCTAAAAACTTTCCCAAGGCTGCACTGAACGCGCATTTCTCTGGGTTCAGCTTCATTCTGTACCTTCTAAGTATGTCGAAAGTTTCTTTCAAATGATTAATGTATTCTCTCCTCTTATCGACTTGACCGACATGTCCTTTATATATACCTCTGTGGTTTTGCCTAGCTGGTCTTTGAACATCCTTGTTACCAATATTTGGTAAGTGGCCCCCGCGTTCTTTAGTCCAAACAGCATGACCCTATAACAATATGTTCCTTGATAGGTGATGAACTGGTTATAGCTCGAGTAAGCGTCCAAGAAACTTAATAGCTCGTGCCCGGATGTTGATTCGATGAGTTGGTCGATATAAGGTAATGGGAACGAATCCTTTGGACATGCTTTGTTCAAATCTATGAAGTCCACGCACATCCTCCATTTCTATTTTTCTTTTTGACAATCATTACGTTGGTGATCCACTTGGGGTACTTCAAATCCTTTATGGAACCGTTCTCTAGCAGTTTTTCCACCTCCTCACGGACTGCGTTGTTGATAGCAGAATTGAATTTATACCTGACCTGTCTCATTGGGGGTGGAATGGGTCGACGTTTAACTTATACGTGGCAATTTTCTTTGGGATGCCAGGTGTCGCGTCCCTTTTTCTCACAAAATCAGATTTTGACACATGACAACTCTTTTAAGGAAGGTGTTTTAAAAGAGAGAGTTGTCACCTAACGGATTAAGGTGTGTTAGGGCACCTATTTGCAAATAACTTTGTTTGACCAGTTTACATCATCAAAGATTGGGTAAGGGCTCGAAATTACCTCAAAGAGAAGGTGTTAGGAACTCTTCGAGGTCCATAACTGTGGGTCCCGGCCGAACTCAATTATATTAATTAGTCTATGTGATCGAAGCTAAGAAACAAGGAATTACTAAACGTGAATAAACAATTGAAAGACAAAGGGGAGGGGGTCATAAGTTTTTTAGCCTAAAGGATCACCCCCGTGTAACATAAATAATACTTCATAACTCCCTCGAGATAGGGTGTTACTCATATTATTCATTGGGCACAGACTATTATCTCCTGCTACCCAATTAATATCTTTAAGTTGTTTACTTAAATCGCACTAGTCAATTCTAAGTCGTATCATACGCGTGCACTACCCGTCCCATGCCTATGGTCCAAGAGGCATTAGAACCTCTATCTCAGGGTGGTTCTAGACTTTAACGTAGACTGATTAGAATGGAAAAAATACTAAGCGACAGACAAAACAGTTAGGAATTTCAAATAGAAACAAGTATAGGCTCAAGTTAGCCTCCGCATTTCGACATCAAATGCACGCCAAATTAGTTAACATTGACAGATTTTATTAATTTCAGAATCCTATAGGCAGGATATCTATGTGATATTGAATGAACAAAACAAACAGTCATGTGCAAAATCAGTTTCTTAATACGATAAGTAGAACCTACATAGGTTTTCCTACTGATTTTAGCATAATACGATTAAGCCTATTAGCATGGTATCTATGTGTTTAATTCGATAGTAGACAATGGCAGTTAGAGAAACAGATCCAAAATTATTTGTTTGATTCTATAGGCATGTTTTCTAGTGAGGGTAACAACACAATATTTGAAAACTCGGGCAGAACTAATAATTAAACAGATTCAGGCCTGTAATGTGCATTCTACAATTTGGTCCAGTTTTAAAACCTATAGGCATGATCTCTACATTTTTATCCACTTTTAGATCCTATAGTCATTATCTCCACAATTTGATCTAGTTTTAGATCCTATGGGCATGCTCTCTACAATTTGAACAGAACGGTATGTAAATAGGCATTTTGCACACATATTGGACCACACTATTTCCTATAGGCATGGTTTCTATCAAAGCAAAACATAACAGAACCAAGCATTAAGTCTATAGGCATAGTTGCCCGTATAAGATGATTAAACATAATAAGGTACCTATAGGTATGATTTCTAACGCATCACATATAATAGCACACTGTTAGACTTATATGCAGGATTTCTAATACATTACATATAATAACACATTATTGGACCAATAGGGTCTGCGGACACCTGCAGGTCTTCCTTGGGTCTCCTGAATGTAGAATCAGCAACTGACCTCTCGATCAGCCACTACCAGCTCTAAAATCTGCACAAAAGTGCAAAGTATAGCATCAGTATAACCGACTCCATGTACTGGTAAGTGCCATCCCTAACCTCGATGAAATAGTGACGAGGCTACGGCGAGGCATATACACTATAACCTACAACAGTATATGATAAAACAAAAGGAAGTACAAAACAAATTGTAATAGTAATTAGCAACAAAGTAAATACGGAGCCCAAATGTCTTGCCAGTACTCAGCTATAATCAATCCTTAAGAGAGAATTTTGATACCACGGGTAAAATGACATCAGAAGATAAGTAGATAAACAACAAAGTGATGCGGCGCGCATCCCTATCCCACCATATAATCAGTATAAATATGAATATTCACCCTTATTGCTCCTTGTTGCGGCATGCAACCCGATCCCACAAGTCCACCTTTATTACTTCTTAATATATCACCCTTATTCCTCCTGTTGCGGTGTCACGCCCCCCTTTTCCCTTCTTGACGGGGAAGGGAAAAAGTGTACAAGGTGTACACTTATTATCATATTCAATTAATATCCATCATATTAATAGTCCTCGTCTGCATACAAAATAACGTAATTAGCACACGTCAAATTTCTTAATAGCACTTAAGTACTTCGAAATTTTCCGGTGTGCTACACTTTTCACTATATATATATATATATATATATATATATATATAAAGTTTGCCCCTCAACAATTGAAAATAAATTTCTTTATATCCTCCATTTGATTTTGATTTCAAAAATGCCTTCGCCTTCAGTATATTTGCTCAAATCGCCTCTAGGAAAATTGATGGAGTTTCCCTTGCAAGATCTCTATATCTAAATAAATCAAATTAATATTGATGATAGTGTTAATACTTATTAGTTCCTTCATTAATTTAATTTTCATTATCTGCTAATAGTTGTGCTTAGTTCAAATTAATTATAATGTATATGTACGTAAGTGTGACAAAACTTATGCTTAATTAAATCTATTTATTTTATATTTTATCCCAAATCTTATTACTTTAGTCTTATTGGAGATAATTTTATTTTAGAAATATATGATATGCTAATGATTTGTCTTTAGCCTATACTTTTTTTTATATTTGTTATCAATTGGGTCTCATACCAAGTGGAGAAATTATGCATATTTTATTAGTATGCAATAATTTGAAGCATGACACTGAGTGATTGAAAATGTTCAAAAATACTTAATAAACAGTTAGAAATATCCAAATATACCGGGACGCATATTTTAACATTTTTAAATGTCTAGAGTATATAATATTATTTAAGACAAAAGATAGCTGATATATTATAGTAGGGCATATATAAGAGCAATTCACAAACTTTAGGGGCCATTTGGCCCTTTTCTGAAAAATAAAAAAGATCAGGACTCAGGAGTATAAAGAAGCAAAACGGCTTCTTTATTCAAAAAATTGGGTATCTGAATTTATCGAGCTCAACTCAACCATTCTTTTCAAAAAATTAGGTTTCTGAATTCTGAAGTTCAACTCAACCTTCTTGAGTCAAAAAAATTCTCAAGGTCAACTCAACAGAACTCTACGACATTGCCCTAATGGCGGATCCTACAGGTTTCAATTTCTTGTAATTTTAACAAATTATGGAAATCAAATGTATGGTTGTGAAGCTTAATGATGCTTTTTTTTTTTCATTATTTATCAGTATGAATAATATTATCCATTAGATTTCTTTTTCTTTCTTGAATTTCCATTTAATTGGATTATCGGTGGGTTTGATTTGGAAGTTTTCTTTGTATGTTTGCTTTTCTTCATTCTTTATCACTATGACTAATTGGATCTTTTTTTCTTTCTTTCTTGAATTTCAATTTGAATGGATTAATCGAATGGTTGTGAACCTTACTGATTTTCTCTGGGTTTGGTTAGGAACAATGTATCATGAACGGTACAAGCTGATGATCCGTGTGCAGCCTAATACTTTCCCTTCACGGATTCCGGTGAACGTAAATGACCTACCGGATTACGACGTAGCGGATTATCAGTATATGCCTGTCGAAGCATTTGGCAGAGCATACTTGGAAGCATATGGGCTGGAAAACTTTAATGGTGGTACCAGTGTGCAGTACCAAGGCCGTCGGGAGAGGGCAGGCCTTGGAGACGACTTTTCTAGTGAGACGGAGAGTACACCAAGGCAGTACCAAGGACCTGCCTTGCAGGTTGCTTTTATGCTTTTTCATAGTTTTTAGTGGATAGAGATGTTTAATTTTCCGTTATTAGATTTCATTTGATTGTTCTTTTCCTGTTCAAATTTTTAGAGGCACAATACTCTAGAGCATGGAGGTCGTATATCTCGTTTCCATAGCACTGCTGATTTTCAGGTTGCGTTTATGATATTTCATAGTTTTCGTGGATAGAGATGTGCAACTTTTCTATGTTAGATTCTATTTGATTGTTTTATTTTCCTGTTCAAATTTTCAGAGGCCCAATACTCTAGAGCATGGAGGTCGTATGTCTCGTTCGCATAGCACTGCTGATTTTCAGGTTGCGTTTATGATATTTCATAGTTTTCATGGATAGAGATGTGCAACTTTCCTTTATTAGATTCCATTTGACGGTTTTATTTTCCTGTTCAAAATTTCAGAGGCCTAATACTCTAGAGCATGGAGGTCGTATGTCTCGTTCCCATAGCACTGCTGCCTTTCAGGTTGAGTTTATGATATTTCATAGTTTTAATGGATAGAGATTTTCCTTTATTAGATTCCATTTGATGATTTCATTTTCCTGTTCAAATTTTCAGAGGCCCAATACTCTAAAGCATGGAGGTCGTATGTCTCGTTCCCGTAGCACTGCTGATGTTCAGGTTTCGTTTATGATATTTCACAGTTTTCATTGATTGAGATGTGCAATTTTCCGTTATTAGATTTCATTTGATTGTTTTATTTTCCTGTTCAAATTTGTAGAGGCTCAATACTCTAGAGCATGTAGGTCGTATGTCTCGTTCCAATAGCACTACTGCCGTGCAGGCAAGTTTCAACTCTGTCTTTGAATAAGGAATTAAACAATCGTCTCCTAAAAGCCCAGTGGAAGATGTGCACATGGTGCCTCATTCATTTGCAATTTTCCATTGTGTTTATCCTGATATTTTATTCGTAGCACTACATTAGAGTTATTAGTTACAAAATACTTTTTTCATTTTTTACACAGATACCAGCTAGTTCTCGATATTGCCGTAGTAATGAACATGACAGTGGTCGTGGAAGACGACGATCATTTACGGGTGATACCTCTGAGACTGAACTTTCCATAGCCATTCAAGACAGTTCAGAGACTGCTAATGCAGATGGAAGAGTACATGATATCTCAACCAATAGGAGGGTAGTTTCTGATGTTACGGAAACAAATGACGAAGATTTCGTTATTCCATCCTTTGAACCTCTGGCTAAAGATTCTGAGCCAGCTTCAAGATATCTTCAATCTGCGTCACAAGCTTCCAGAAATTCACAGCTTCAAGAGTTTTCATTTCATCCCCTTGTTGTGCCTCATGCTAATAGTCAACCAAGGCCTCTGTCTGATGCTTTACCCAAAAACTATATGGCATCCCGTCTATCCGGAAAGCAAAGCAAAACTACAATGCCTTCTAGTTCATCTCCAGCACGGCCAGCACCTCATCTCCGGCATGCCTGGTCCATGACGAACAGTGCTTTTGTTTCTGCTCGATCTTCATCAGTTCATGAATCATCTTCTTATTCTGTTGGTTCATCAAGGAATCGGTACCACAGCAATAGAAATAGCCGTTCCACATCAGCCCCAAACCTTGTTGAGAGTAGGTCGGTTGACTCTTCAAAAGAAACCTCATAGGTTGATGATCAAAGATTTTTTGGTGTTTGTATAGTTTCTCCATGTCTGGTGTAAGGGATGTAAAAAGTTGTCGTGGAATATGAGATTGAGACTGTCATTTTTTAAGTCTAGGAGGCTGTTCAAATAGTGAAAATATGTAGAAAGATAAGTAGATGCATAAATGTTTGTTAGTGGTGGGAAGGCCCTTAATTGTGAATATATGGTTCATTTCCCCAGTTTTCCAGAACACTATTGGTTAGTTAGAAGAAAAATCAAAGTGACTATCTCACTCAGGCATTACATGCTGTATTTCCTCCTTAGCTTGCCATCTATTGTTATTCTCCCTTTTCTTCTTCTTGGTAATACTCCTATATTGTTATTGTTATTCTTTAACCTTTTAGGGGTCATTTGGTTTGAATACGGCTTATTCTGGGATAAGTTATGCTGGGATAAGTTATGCTGGGATTAGTTATATTAATATTGTTTTTATCCACGGTTTAGTATGTTGTATTAAAAATGACAATTGCATAATTTCTAAGAAGAAAGTATAAGTTATCCCGGCACAAATTACCCACCTCCTACATGATATAAGTTATCCCGGTACTAATTTTAATCCTGGGATAACTTATACCAGGTTTGCTAATCAAACAAAGTATTAAGGTGGTATTAAATTTTTATACCAACATTATATGTGCTTATACCTCATACCAAACGACCCCTTAATGATTGTTAATTTCACCGTTCAATCATTTCTAGGGTTCACAGCATATACTCCCTATATAACATCTATGTACTTCTAAAATTTACTCTGATTGTAATTGAATGATTAAATTATGTTACGCAATTATTTTGGACTCTTATTGGTTTGTGTTATGAAAAATACTGCTTAGATGCTAATTAATCGCTCTTTTTTTCTTTTGATTTTCTTTGTGCAAGCTTATTTAGATGAAAAGATCAACGGTAAGTATTCCACTTTTCCTCCATATTTTTTTTAAGTTCCTGTGAATAACATGGAAATTTATTGTTTTGTTACATATTGGGGTTTATAATGTACTGCTAGGATTGTTTATCCTTAAAGTAATACAATAGAATTTATAGCATGGTTTTTAGACAAGCAAATCGATTCGATTCCAAAATGATAAATAAATAAAATAAAATATAAGACTTAGCGTTGAAATGGGGATAAGATAGAGAACAGATTGGTTCTGGTAGCAAGGCTTCCGAAGACAACAATAAGAATGTTGATAGGCAGAAAATAAAGTGTTACTCTTTCCGATCCGCAATAAGTGACCAATTTGCTATTTTATTTTGGTCCAAAATAAGTGTTCATTTATATAATCAAGAAAAAATTCAAGTTATTTTCCAAAATTACCCTTATGTACGTATCCCTAAAAAGATTTTTATTCATCACATTAAATTATGCTGCAACATTTAATTAAAGGTAGTTTAATCACACTAACTATTTTTATCTAGAATTTAGTATTTTCTTAATGGGTGTGCCCAAAGTAAATTGGTCACTTATTGTGGACCGGAGGGAGTATTTAGCTTGAAATAATGGGTAACATAAGTTTGTCAGAAATTTCGTATTTTACAATGGCTGTTGAAGTCACTATTTATAGCTATACCTAGGAAACAAGGTCCTAGGATCAACTCCCTCTTAAATGACAATAATGGGAGCCATTGATATAACGACAGGCTATGAATGCCCAAATTCTCTGTAACGGATTGTGTATTTAATACTGAGGAATATTCTTCAATGAATGCCATCTAGTGGCAAATATTTGTTTGCCTCGTTAACAATGTTCTCTCCGGGGTCTGCCCGGTGCTAATCGAAGCTGTTGTCCTTGGTCATGGTCTCCACTCGCTTCGTCTCCCGTCTGTCTTCGATTCCACACATCATTCTATCATTTGAGTATTTAATATGAACCAATTTTACCCTATATAGATAGTCCCCCTGCTTTTCAGTGGCACATTTTTGTGTCATCGGGAAGTTGGTGAATATTCCCTTATTGGGGGAATTTTTTTTGAACCCTCTGAAAAGTTTCTCACGCTTGATTAGATGCATGTCTCTCCGCATTTAATACCCCGAACACGTGTTACTCCACAATTTAGTAATCTTTTCTCCGGTTCTCGAGGTAATCATGGCCACAATTTTAGCCGCCTGTTCCTTTACTTATTCGCCTCATTCTTCTTCTTTTACACTTCACAGTTCTTGAAACTCTCTCAACTTCTTTGTATTCAACTCTTTCCTGCTTTCAATCTTTTTTAATCTTCTACACCAAAGAATTTGTATGTCCTTCTGCTGATCATGGCTTCTTCTTCCAAGAACTCAAGTTCATTCTTCGGCGAGGGTCCGAAAGAGAACAAAAACAAAGAAATCGCTGTTGATGCTGAACTCCCTACCATGAGCATCACCATAATTCCCATAAGACTCAACATAGCCAAGGACTTCAAAAAGAAGTTTCCTTTTTCAAGTTCTCGCACTTGGGCTGTTGGCATATACCCTTCTTCCAGCATTCTTGTTGTGAAGGAGGATTGTGATTGTCATGATCTAAACATCATTGCTCCCGAACTGGTGGAGCGAGTAACCTTCCCTAAGAAGGACTTCATATACGTTTATACGTACCTATTCACTTTGGGTGCGTTTTCTTTGAGTAGGACAATGAAATGCTAAGGGGGTTCGTATCTCGATTTCAGATGGAACATATGGGCCTACCCCTGATTACCGATGATTGGGTTGTCCAAGCCTTTACCCAGGCTTTGAACGAGCGAAATTCGATAGCATCACGTCAACTAAAGCAGAATTTGATTGAATATCCAGTGGTGACCTGGGCCAATATGCATAATCGGTACCAATCAAAGAATAGATCAAGGATGATCAGTTGGGAGATACATCCAGTTTCGTTTACCCAAACAGGTTCGAAGGCAGGATTCAAAGGGACATTGATAGAGAGCCCCGATTGAACAAATATCGATACCAACTGTATAGAGTAGATCGAAAGAACAACGGACCGGGACGTAATCCCGTTCAAAATGATCGAAGAAATGATCGAGGTCAAAATTCTTGAGGGCTCGTGAGTAAGAATGGCTTCGATAAACACGTCGAGCCTAAGGAAGCACCACGGTTATTAGAATACAACTTCAGCATCGATGCTTCAGGCATTATGTCAGCCATTGGACGAATCAAGGATACTAGGTGGCCCAGAACCCTGCAAACTGATCCAGCTCAAAGGAATCCGAATCAAATATTCAAGTACCATGGAACCTATGGTCACAGAACCGAGGACTACAAACAATTAAGGGAGGAGGTAGCTCGTTTATTCAACGAGGGTCATCTTCGAGAATTCTTGAGTAACCGAGCAAAAAACCACTTCAGAGACAAGGGATGCAAACAGGAAAAATAAATAGGAGGAACCACAACATGTGATTCATATGATCATTGGTGGGGTCGATATCCCTCAGGGCCCGACATTTAAATGCACCAAAGTCACAATCATAAGGGAGAAGTGTCATACGGGACTACTTACCAGAAGATACCTTATACTTCAACGATGAGGATGTAGAAGGAATCAAATAGCTTCACAACGACGCACTGGTAATATCTATCCTTATGAATAAAATTCAAGTTAAACATGTGTTGGTAGATCCAGGTAGCTCAGCGAATATTATTCGATCGAGGGTCGTGGAGCAACTCGGTCTTCAGGATCAGATCGTGCCTGCAGCTCGAGTGCTTAATGATTTCAACATGGTGAGTGAAACCACCAAAGAGGAAATCATGTTGCTAGTAAACGTGGCTTGAACTATCCAGGAAACGAAGTTCCACGTGATCGAAGGAGATATGAGGTACAATGCGCTACTTGGAAGCCTTTGGATCCATAATATGATGGCAGTACCTTCAACGCTTCATCAAGTCTTGAAGTTCCCAACACAGAATGAGTCAAAATGGTGTACGACAAGCAACCAACAACCAAAGAGATGTTTGTAATTGATGAAGTAATACTGGTATCGACACTAACATCAACAAAGGGACCAGAATCAAAGGAAAAATAGGATGTAAAATAGCAACCACAGTTGCCGGCCTCGACCAGATCGAAACAACAGGAAGTTATCGAGAATGATACCTCGAACCTTCATAATCCCCGATGATTCCGACACCACAAACTAGACGGTCGAAGAGCTGGAGCAAGTCATACTGATCGAGCATCTGTCCGATCGAAATTTATACCTAGGCATGGGGTTAACTCTCAAGCTTAGAGGAAAACTCATTAAATTCCTTACTAAAAATATGGATTGTTTTGTGTGGTCCCACCTTGACATGACAAGGATCCCATCGGAGATCACCACTCATTGATTGAGTTTGGACCCGAAGTTCAGACCAGTAAAGCAAAGGAGAAGGCCACAGTCCGAGATAAAGCATGCATTCATCAAGGACGAGGTAACCAAACTTCTCAAAATAGGGTCCATTCGGGAAGTAAAATATCCTGAAAGGTTAGCAAATGTAGTTGTAGTCCCTATGAAGGGGAATAAACTTAAAATGTGTGTAGATTACAAAGACTTAAACAAATCATGCCCTAAGGACTCTTTTCCACTGCCAATATCGATCGCATGATCGATGCCACGACCGACCACGGGATCCTTAGCTTTCTCGATGCCTACTCCGGGTACACCCAAATACAAATGAACTTGGAGGATGAGGAAAATACCTCATTTATAACTATGTACGATGCTTATTGATGTAATGTAATACCGTTTGGGCTAAAAAATGCTGGTTCAACTTATAAACGCCTAGTGAACCGTATGTTCGAAGAAGAAATAGGTAAATCAATGGAGGTTTATATTAATGACATGCTAGTTAGTCCCTGCGTGCAAAGGACCATTTAACACATTTGCAGGAAACCTTCGCCATATTGAGACAATACAACATGAAGCCCAACCTAGAGAAATGTGCATTCGAGGTCGGTTCAGTCATGTTCCTCAACTTTATGGTATCAAATCGAGGAATCGAGATCCACCCCGATAAAATTAAGGCAACCGAAGACATCACAGTCATGGACAGCATTAAGACTATACAAAAGCTAACAGGACGGATAGTTGCTTTAGTCCGGTTCATCTCGAGATCTTCTGATAGAAGCCACAGGTTATTCTCACTTCTCAAAAAGAAGAACAATTTTACTTGGACCCCGGAATACCAACAGGCATTGGAAGAATTAAAGAAGCACCTTTCGAGCCCACCATT